ATGCTCCCAACAGCCCTGATTTTCAGGAAGGAGCCTCAGCAGTCACCTGACCATCCATGGATTTTTCTTCCAGGAATTCACTGTGGAGCTTGTTTCTGTTTTCCTGCTCTTTCTGAGCTCCTGTCAACATGGCATGGAGCTGGAAGAGGTGGAGAGGAGAAACGTTGGTAATGGGAAGACAGAGGGAAATTGCTGGGGAAAAGGGAGACACACACCCCTAACGGTGGCTGCAGAAAGCTCCACACACTCCAGCCTGCCCCAAAACCAGGGAAGCCCTGGCTAAAATCCAGGAAAAACACTGCTGAGGATCCAAGGAATCCGAGCCATGATCTGTGTGGAGAGTGTCCCTGACAGGAGGAACGTGAATGGAACCGAGCGAGGCTAGGGCAGGAGGGTCAGAGCGAGCAGAGAAGGGGGGCCCATCAACATCCTAATTTACTGCTCCAGAGAAAGAAAAATTCCCAGCTTTAATTCCAAGGAGGATAATTTAATATCTCCTTGGCATCTGCAGATCTATGACCTGAATCCAGTCATGAGTTTCCTTCAGGTCTCCACCCTTGGGACCAGTTAGACAGATAGTAGGGTTAAACTCTTTCCCACTTCTTAAATCTGGATCCTCCTGTTCCATGAGAGACTTTTAATTGTGTCCCTCACAGAATCCTTCTGGAGCAGAAGTCCCAGTGTGAAATGAACGGGGACAGGGAGTGTTGGGTGAAGAACAGACTAATGTGATATGGGAATGTGCCTCGCTGGGGATCCAAGCCAGCCGAATTTCACCCAGAAAAAAAAGAGGCATTAAGTTCAAGCCTTGGGAAGCATTTGTTTAAGTTATGGCAAAGAGAAAGGGCTTATGGCAGTTAATATGTTAATCATCTCACCCCTCATAAGATTATGTTTCTAGAATGTTCCCGGTTCTCTCCCCTGATTGGTTGTTATTTGTTGCAGTATTTTGCATATTTCTAACCCCAGTTTGTGGTTGGACCCATGCCCTCAGGCTCTGCCCTCAGACCTACCCTATATATTTTTGTGTCTGCCCGTAGTCCCAGTCTTTGCAGTTTGTCCCTATACTGCGCACGGTTTATGGGCATTGTCCCTATTTTATTTCTCATTAAAGTGTTAATTTTAGGTGGACACAAACTCCATCATACCCTTTCATTTTATTTGCACCTCAATTCCCTGAAGTCAGAGAAACCTAAAGTTTTAAAGGTACTGGTTTTCAATAGGATAACATCCATTTAAATCCCAGTAAGAGGCACAGAGCTGGATTTGAATCCAAGTTCGGATTCAGCATGGGAATGTAGTGGACAGCACACCGATGGTTTCCATGTTGCTGAGCAGGGCTTGTCCTGTCCATGGACTTTGCAATCCCCAACTGGACAATCCATGTCCCATGCTCAGCCAGCAAGGAGGTGACATCAACACCGTTCCCCTCCTCATCCTCGTGTCCTATTTAGACAGGAATCTTCTTTCTCCTCTGCTCCAGAGGGTGCTCGAGTGCCCAGAGGGAGCCCCTTCCTCGCTCCCGTGGAACTGGTGAGGGCTGGGGTGACGCAGGGCCGTGATGTCACAAAGGGGTTAAGCTCTGGTGTGATGCAGGGCCGTGATGTCACACAGCTGTCCTGGCCACAGCACTGTGACATCACCACGCCAGCCCTATATAAACCAGGCCAGCCCCCGCAGCTGCCAGTGCAGTCGCCATGGGACGTGCCGTAGCCATGGGTGACGGTGGCGTCCTGATGCCTGCCCTTGTCCTGCTGCTGGCCGCTGTGGCTGTCTGCTGGGCCGGTGGCCACTGGCAACCACGGAGGCGGCAGACGAGGAAGCGCCCCAGGGTTAGGCCCAGAGGCCCATGGAGGAACCGAGCAGCCCCTGCAGCTCCCAGGTTCTCCAGGCCTCGGGCCACCCCTCGCCGGCGGCCAGGTGCTCCCGCAAGCCCTCTGGAGAGCTCCAGCAGCTGCGGTCCCTGCATGGCAGTGGCCCAAGAGCTGCAGGAAGTGATGATCCGGCACTGGGCACACAATGGGACATCTGTGTCGCTCTTCTTTGGGATGTGGCAGGCCTTGTGGAAAGAACTGGAGAAGCTGATGAGGTGAGGCCACCTGCCCTGCTGTGGCTCGCCCAGCTTCTCCAGAAGCCGCCATCCCTTCAGGAGGCTGCTCCCAGCAAGATTGGCCATCCTTGGGAGAGCCTCAAGCCTTGCAAGGATGGCACAGCAGAGAAGACCCGCCATCCGTGCAAGAAGCTCAGGCTGTCAGAGAACGTCCATGGTGCCAGGAGCCTCCGCTATCTCTGACAGCCTCCATCGCTCGGAGAGGCTCAGCCAGACCTGTCAGCCTGCAGAAGGTGCAGAGCCCAGGGACAGGTCTCCCAGCTTCCTTGGACCCTTGGACTTCAACAACATGGGCGCATCCCTGAGCACTGACATGGCCAGGGAAAGCCCACAGGTCCAAGTGGAAGCCCAGCCCGATCCAGGGGAGCCATCTCAGGAGCAGGGGGAGGAGCAGCAAGTGTCCTGGAGCCAGCAGCTGCCGGACCACAGCTCCCAGGTGACGGTGCTGGACGTGCCAGCTGGCAACAACCTGTGCCCGGTGGACGAAAAGATTCCCGGGGGACCAGGGAGTTTCCTCCATCTTCAGGAAGCTGCTCCCATACAGCCACCAAATACCAACAAGGCTTCTGTACCGGCAGGTGAGACCTGAGGAGCTGTCTGAGGCTGCCATGGGGCTCTGGAGGGGCATTCCTAGGCCAGGCCAGGGCCTCTGAGAGCAGCCTAGAAGCAGGTCAGAGCAAGGTGGCCGGCGCTGGCTGGGGCTGCTGCACATGCGGACACTTGGGGGGTTCCTGGCAGCATCAGGCCCTGTGATGGAGGCATTGTCTTCTCCTCACAGCCCGACAGCACCTGTGTTCCACAGGAGATCGTGCTGATGGAAAAGGTGGGCTTTGGCTGCCGCAGAATCATCCAGCTCCTCGACTGGTTCCAGGTGCCTGACAGCTTCGTGCTGGTGATGGAGCGTCCAGAGCAATCTTGGGATCTCTTGCACGTCCTGCTGGAGCAAGAGTTCCTGAGCGAGGAGGCGGCGCGCTGGCTTTTCTGGCAGGTGCTGGAGGCCGTGTGGCACTGCACCGCCTGCAGTGTCCTGCACCGGGACATCAAGCCAGAGAACCTCCTCGTCAACCCGGAGACTGGCGATATGAAGCTGATGGACTGCGGTTGCGGCACCTTCCTCCAGGAGCGGGTCTTCACACAGTTTGCCGGTGAGCCCAGAGCGCGGGCCCTGCTCCCAGTGCCAGGCACTGCACAGCCCCATTCCCTCCTGGGCCGCGGGGTGCAGCGTTCAGCCGGCTGTTGGAGATGGTGTGCGGGTTCCTGCCCTTCGAGAACGAGCGTGACACCGTGTTGGGGCAGCTCTTCTTCCCGCAGGAGGTCTCTCCAGGTTGGTACGCGGCCTGAAGCAGGCAGGCTTTGGCAGGTGGCACCGCGCAGCCCAGCCCGGCCCTCCCGCAGCTGCGCGGGACGTCCATGTGCCCTCAAGGGCCGGCTGCAGCAGGTGGCCCGTGGCAGGCTGGGTGTGGCACGCTTGGCTGAAGGAGGGGACGCTTGTCCTGCCGTGCCGCTCTCCCGCCAAGGGCAGCTCCCAGCACACGCAGCGTGGCCCGGCTTCTGCAGGCGCCGGGAGCAGCTGGGCAGGAG